TCTAAACTAAACCACAGAATAGAAAGGTCGCAGACAAGTTGTCATTCGTTTAATTTTTGTCTTGGAGCACGCTAAGAAGTTAGGAAATGGGGAGGGGGCGGTGATGGGCGATTTTGCGTTCCCCCCCCCCCCCGGGGGCAGTGTGGGGAGTGTGCGTCTGTATTATTTATATGTGCAGGAGTGTGCGTGTGTATGTACTCATTGCCCCTTGTGTGGGGTTATGCAGCCCCTGAGGTGAACAGAGACGCAACCAGAAAAAGAGGCCATTGGAGATATTCCTCGCCGAGAGAGCGCCACACACACACGCAGAGGGAGAGAGAGTGTGAGAATCACACACCACAAAAAAAATATTTGTAATTCACACACACACACACACACACACACACACACACACACACACACACACACACACACACACACGCACACAGGTTGGCAGACGGGGCCCGGCCACACCAACACCGTCCGCATTCTGCTCGTGCAGTGATACGACACGACGTCGCATGGTGTGTGTGTGTGTGTGCTCTGCGGTGTTGTTTTCCCTATCTTGCAATGGAGAGCGGATCATTCTTGCGATGCAGCAACATCATTATTGTGCTTTGTCACACTGTTGTTCCTTCTGCGGTTTTGTTTGGCGCTTTCTTTCCAATGGGGTTCTTTTCATGTTTGATTGGCGTGTCTCATGGTGTGTGCTGCTTTTCATTCCTTCCATGGATGGTGCTGATGATGCTCATCCTCACGCTGTTGTTGTTGTTGTTGTTGTTGTTGTTGTTGTTGTTGTTGTTGTTGTTGTTGTTGTTGTTGTTGTTGTTGTTGTTGTTGTCGCTGTCATGCACGGCCAAAAAGCGCGTCACACACAAGCTGATGAATGCATGATGTGATTGATGAGCGCGACGATGATGATGCATGGCACAGAAAAAAGGGAGAGACAAACTGGCAGAGATACAGAGAGGCAGAGAGAGAGTGTGTGTGTATGTGTGTGAGACAGACGCACAGACAAACGCACACAGACGCACACAGACACACACAGACACACACCATCTTTGTCTGTCGCGCGTGTTGTCGCAGCCGATAATCTTCTAATGATTCCAACAGGTTTTCTGCAATGTTTTGCGATTCCCTTTTTCCCTTGCTTCCTGCTCTTGCTTCTTTGCCTCGCACACCACACCATTATCGCGCACACGCCCCACCCCACGCAAGCCAAGCATCACCCATCTCACCACCACCCACCGTTGGTGCTTGTGTGCCTTGGTTAGCAAGCCAACCCGCGACACGGGACACGAGACACTGACCGTCTCTTTGTTCCCTCCTCGTTTCGTGAGCTGTGAGCTGTGCCCTCTGTGGGTGTTCTTTGCCAACCCCGACCGAAGATGCCAGCCTCAAAGGTGCTGGGATCCAGTGCCGTTTTGGCCACGCTCGTGGTCGCTGTCCTGATGGCGTCAGCCTCCTTGACGTCTGCACAAGGCATCTGCTCATCTCTTGATGATGCCCAAGGTAGATATGCACACGATTGCTGGGCTTGATGATGACGATGCTGGTGGTGATGTGCGTGTTTTGCTTGTGGCTGCACACATCCTTCCAGTGCGCGCGTGTACGTTTTGCCTCGCATCGCGGTGTTGTCCGGACATGCGATCCCCAGTTCCTTTTTTGATCCTGATCCTGGCGCGCTTGGAGGCCTGCTCACCTCTTGCCAACGCTGTGCTTGTTGCCTTGTGCCCTGTGCCTTTCAGAGGTGCGCACTGTGAATGATGTCGACTCCACGAACCCCGTGCTGTGGAATGACACTGCCACCTGGAGCGTGGGCCGATCCCCATGCACCTGCGAACGCGCTCTCATCACGCGCAACGTCGAGGTTCAGCCGGCCGTTGAGGTGAGATGTGCGGCAGGTGTGCCTGTTTGCAACGCCTCTGGCCATCCGCCACACTGCAGTGAAATCTCTCCAGTTCCATTTTAACCATCATCATTGTTGACACAAGCACTATTTATCTATCCAAGCTCGCCTGTCCGTGCACACACACACACACACACACACACACACACACACACACACACACACACAAAACGCAGGCTCGCGTGTCTCGCTTGACGCTTTCGCGCAAGACGCGCGTCAACTTAAAGCGCAAGGGCCGCCTTGTCTTCAGCAGGAAGCAGCGCGAGGAGCCCTGCCCCGTCATTGAGACATTTGACGTGCTCGACCTCACCTCCACCACCTTCAAGGCCAAGTGGCAGCCCAGCACGGACGCTGGCAACCTGTGGGTGGAGGGCGACACCACGCCCAAGAGCGTATCTGGCACACAGTGGACGGGCCGCGTGCCACTCAACGCGGACGGCAGCACGACGTTCACGTTTGAGGTGACGAGCGTCACCGTCAACGACACCGTCACCGCCCGCAGGGTTGTTACCGTGGACAGGGAGGCGCCTGTTGTGTGGGAGCGGCGCGAGACGGGCAATTGGAACGTCAGCGGCAACTGGATTGGCGGCGCCGTGCCGTGTGCAGACCAGC